CCATTCTCAAAGCCCAAATGTTGGGTTAAGTCTTTTCATGTTGTTTTGCTCTGCAACTAACTCTTCTGCTTCTCTCTGCCATTTTTAAGAAATCTGTGAATACCTTGGGTCCACCTGGTTAATCTGGGATAATCTTACTTTAAGGTCAGCTCACTCATAATCTTAATTCTTCAATTCATCTTTTGTCATGTAAACAAATACATTAGGATTTGGACTGCTTTATGAGGCCTACATATACCCCATAGGGTTTTATTATGATTAAATATAGTATTATATTTAATATATTTAAGCCATTTGGAGCAGAACCTGGCACCATGTTAAGCATTATGTAAGGATTAGCTATTAATATTTCCACACAAAAGTCAAGAATATCGATGTTATTAACAAAGGGCTAAATTTCATTGTGTGAGATTCAGGCCGGGGTTTATTTTATTTTTTATGTTTTTGTTCTTTCTCCTCTGAATTAAACTTAAACACCCCGTCATAGGTAGACCCCCGGACACCTTCAGACCTGTTTCTGTAGACATGGGTCTGCCCGACATCCTGTGAAGTCAGGTAGAGGAATACCCCGTCTCCACATCCCCACTCTTAAGTTCCTCAGGACTCAAGCTGCTTTCACTCCACTTAGGTGAGATAAAAAGTTTCATGCAAATCATTTCACTTAAATGGTCATCACCTGAATAGAACCTGCTCCTTTGCAGAAGTTCCTAGAAACTGTTACTGTTCAACACCAGCTGGGAGACAGGCCGGGTGCATATTGAGATGCTTGCTGCAGAGGAAGTAAAACTTCGAAGTTGGACTGCCCTAGTCTGGCCTCTCCTCTCCCATTCTCTGCTCTCCTCCTTCCCCTGCCTCCTCTCCCCTCTCTGCCACCCCCACTTTTCCATTTCTGTTCTTAGTGGGATATACCTGTAAGCCTTTGGGGAAGTGCAAACAACACCCTGCATTTAATTTAGGTTTAGAGATAACCAGAAGTACTTTACCTCACTTAGATTTTTGGTAAACTTCTGAAAAGAAAATAATGGACAAATTGTAATAGCTATCTCAAAACTACTATTAGAAAGAATAGTGATGCAAAGATAAAAATGAAGAACCATGCAGAAAGTTCATTTTCAGTTCCGTTATCAGTTTACAAGCTATCTTGATCTTCAGTGTCAGCCTATCAAATGATGTGATGCTATAATCTATACCACAGTTATTCAAAAGTCAGGGTTTGTATTTCGGAGAGAGAAACATACCCTTCAATAAAACAATGTGATCCTTATATCTCTGTATGGAAAGGAAGCAAATTAATATGGAGAACAAAGATGAATCAGTGCTTCTCATAGTTTAGACTGCTGATTTATCAGTTCAGGGAAAGATTAAAAAAAATAATTTACTAGGTAGGGAATTCTGTTCAAAAAATTCTATTTTAAATGTCAGTACTGAGAAGATATTTACTGTACAGTTATAATTGCCCTTTTGATGCTAACTGAATCACTTCTTAGAAGGAGCGTAGCATTGGTTTTATATTTATTCTTCTAAAGCTGGTACCTGGGAACAGCTGTCGTAGACAGAATTTATGTGTCCCATCACCAGATCCTATGTCAAAGCTTTAATCTGCATTGTGGCTGCATTTGGAGCAAGGGGCTAATTGAGGTTAGATGACATCAGGAGGATGGGGCTCTGAGCCTATGGGATTAGTGTCCTTATAAGAAGAGATGCCAGAGGATTCTCTCTCCCTTTCCCTGCACACACAGGAAGAGGTGATCTGAGCACAGAGTAGTGAGCTGGTGCTCCATAGCCAGGGGTCTCCCTCAGGAACCAGATGTGCTGGTGCTTTGACCTTGGAGTTCTAGCCTTCACAACTGTGAGAAAACAGGTTTGTGTTATTCAGGCCTCCTGATCGTGATATTTTGTTATGGGAGCCACAGCAGACTGAGAGAATAGTTAAAAGATGTTTCCCTCAGCATTTTCTTATAGTGTTTGTAACAAGTTTTGCTCTTTAGTTCCAGGTGTGATATTTGTTGTTTCTGGGCAGAAGCTTGAAAAGCTCGTGTCTAGTCCCATACCTTTTCTTCACCCTGGTGGGCTAGTTGTGGGTTTACTCCATCTCACAGGCTGAAATGGAATTTACGTATGCCTCACTGGAGTGACCAGATGACCCGAGCACCCTCCATGTTGGATGTATAGCATGAGAGAAAAGGAAGTAGACATTTGTCAGGCTGAGGTATTTGTTAGTATAGCATTACATGGCCTGTTCTAACTGATGACATTGTCTCTGGGATGTCACTGCAGAACACAGGTAACAAAGGAGTTAATTCATAACATTCAAGGTCAAAACCACAAGACTCAGCTATACAAACAACACAGTTGCACAGCAGCTAAAGATCCAAGTCATCCTCCCCCAGACTAAGTTTTATCTAAGGATTATCTAGGAAAATATGTGGAGAACTGTGGGGAAAACAAAGAGCTTAGACACTGATGTATCCCTGAGTCCCCTCTCATTGTATATCTCTGAGAGACTTGGAAATTCAAGAGCTGAAGGGATTTGTGTCCCATCTGTAAAATACCGTGGGCCTAACTCAAGGAGGAGCAGATGTAGTCTTTGGAATGTGTTTAGATCATGTCTATTATTTTAATTCAGGAAATGAACACTTCTGCAAGGATAATTTAGTTCTTCACAGTAACAAATTTTCTAATTTTGTTGTGCAGCAAGGGTAACTGGAATGGGGACCCTTGAGGCAGAACCCTAATTTCCAGTAGTGTTTGCTTTTTTTCTTAGCTATCAAAGTCAGATGTCTAACGTTTGTTTAGCAAAATCAATGTGAACACTAAATTTACTTTATCCACATAGTCCATCTAAAGATTCTGATCCTTAATGCTGAAATATTTCAGCTTCGAGAACTTTGGTTACCAGATGACAACTGCCAGCACTCTTTAAAGGGTTAAGATTTCAAGCAAATCTAGGCATCCCCAGATCCAGTAGTTCCAGATGTTCTGCCACTTTGGAATCCCAGATTTCTCTCTCTCTCTTTAAAGATTTATTTATTTATGCATACAGGAACCGGGGTACAGGCAGAGGCATGGGGGGTGAGAGTACCTACCAGAGACAGCAGAACAGTGTATTGAAATACACTGCTGAGGAGAGCAGTGGGCCACACAGGAGAGGTCTGCTGCACCATGTGGGGCACATACCTGGCTGGGGATTGAACTTGTGCTGCAGTGGCTGCAGCATTTTATCCAGTTCCTCTCATCTATGAAGAATGTCCTAGGTGAGAGCTCTGTGTCATTATTTATGAAAACTTTTGTTCAGGGTGAAATAGCACCAATGTTAAATACTCGTGTGGTAATACACAGAATTTCCTTAAGTCACTTTTTTGTGTCTTTGTACCATCCCTGTCTGGTTTATAGTACAAAAACTATATACCATAGTTATATATATTACAAATATTGTTGATAAACATTGAGTTCTTACCTAAGCACTTAATTTATCCACGTTAGATGCTTGTCACAAGTACACGAGGAAGTTAATAATCTCTCCTCCATTTTGGAGGTTGGGAGACATTAAAGTTTGCCCAATTGGATGGAAATAATGTAATATTTCCATAATGTAATAATGTAATAATGTAGAATAATACCCAGGGTGCCAAAGTCAGAGTATTTAAGGGACCTGAGCTTCACTCTGAACGCTGGAGGGAGCCTTGAGAGGTTGGGAGGGCCAGCACCCTCTGTGCAACGCTGCCATCACCCACACACTGCCAACCGTATCTTTGCCAATTCTGTTGCCTGAAAGATGGAGCCAACTGTTACTGCTGCATTTGTTGGTAGCAGAAGGTGACAGAGCTGGAGTCTGAGGGCAGGAGGGCTGGCACACTTGGCATGCCAGAAGTCAAAGGGAGAGAGATTGAGCATCTTTTGCTTAAGGGCTTGGGCCTTGGGAAAAACAAAACAACCTGTGGCTTCAGCCTCTGATCCTGGTCTGCTAGGCAGGATGCTGACCAAGCCAAGGAGCCCCGCAGAGCCTCAGTCTTCTCATAAAACAGGAGTTAATGATACCTGTTTTGCCTTCCTTGCAGGATGATGGTCAAAATTGAATAACTTAAGCTTGGGGAGATTATGTTGTGAATTGTAAGATTTTACAAAATTTTGCTAATTTTTATCAGGGATGACCAGCAGGTGGTCTCCCTCAGGGTGAACACTGGGTGGGTGAAGGGGATTATGGGAGGTGTGGGAGGGCCAGGCTTTCCTGAGTGCTGAAGCTCCTGGGGATGAGTTTTGAGATGTGCTTTGTCACTGTTGTCATTCTTGGGGAGGAGGAAGGGACAGTGAGGTTGAGTGATACACTAGAGATGAAAATGGAAAGCATTTAATAAAGTAAAATCTTACCAGTTATAATTGAGAATGGGAAAACACTATGACAATATGCAAAAGGAACATCAAAACTTGTGTAACACACTCATTTATTCTTTCAACAGATTATTATAGATGCCCACTCTACATAGCCAGCAAGTTACTGGAAGAAAATATTTAGATTGCTGTTTATATTAAGTTGATTAACTGTCAAGAGAGATAAAAATATTTAGATAAATATTTGAAAGCTAAGACTAGGGGAGGGAGAGAGGGTCAAAGGGATAGATGGAAAACAAATAAAATTCATTGATGTGCTGTTAAGGAAATATATAGGGAGTAAAATGATGCAATAAGTCTAGAATTCTATGTAACAAAATACTAAACCAATACAAATAGGAACATAATTACTATAAAAAATGAATAGACTTGAGGGAAAAAAATCACCCAATTAAACAAGATTTTAAAAAAGTAAAGGAGAATTTCACAGTGAAAATGTAACAATGAGATTTCATGCGTATTATATATTATGTTCAGCAGAAGCTGTTTGAATGGAAGAAGAAATTGGCAGGCATACAATTTGAGAGCATTTCATTTGGAGTAGGTAAAAGAAAGAATTTAAATTATACAAGGTAAAGAAAGCTAAAGTAAATACATGGTTTTAATTTTAGGTAAAGAGGAAGGAAGTGGCTGTATCACCTCCCCATCATGCTCCCTTCTCTGGTCCTCCTGTGCAGCCTCAAGCACGTCACTTCTGGGATAGCTCTCGTTTTCATGAACAAGGGAGTCACCTGGTTTCATCATCTCTCATCCACTGGTCGTGAGAGTAGCTGGCTGGGCAAACATCTGCTTTCTGCTGTTGTCAATCAGGGTAGGCTAAAAAAAAATATCCCCTAATGTTGATGGCTGAGCTCAATGATTTAGTTCTTGTTATTGTAAAGTCTAATCAGAAGCTTCTGATTAGAAGCGAATGGCCTTCCAAATAGTCATATTAGGATCTGGGTGCCTTCTGTCCTATGCTGCTGCCACCCAAGGACTTCCTGCAGCCCTGGGGCAAGGGGAGTGGAGTTTTACACCCAGGGGCAGAGCAGGAATCGGAGGACTGCACAGGTATCCTTTGGCCCCTTCCATTCTAGCACTTGTCAGCTCAACTCCCCAGGTCCTCAGGTTCATCACCTGAACCTGCTCTACTAGAAATGCATTCACCTCCCTCAAGCAATGATGTATGAAGGTCAGTATAGAAATACCCTGGCTCCCCTGACTCTAAATAAATCTTGGGGTTGGGGGAGAGAAGGGCCCCATAATCTTTACCAGACTTTCTCATAGGACTAGCTGTTATTTTCCACTGTGGTGACTTGCTTAATAGCACACCCATTGTCTGTCGTCTTCCCTGATTCTCTTCACTCTTCCACTGGTGTTTTCTGAGATCACCACCCAAGTAAAGTACGCGATGAGGGTTTAAGTGGACTGAACAATACATGGGACCAAAAGGTGCGTGGCTGGAGGTGGCTTCAGATGTGACTGGATTCAGTGTTCAAATAGTATCTTTCGCATGTGGTTTCTCTCATCTCTTGGCTCCACCTTCTGATAGCAGATGCTGACACTCCCCAACACTCCAGTGTTAGGAAAATATAGCTGTAGTGACCTCAAGCCTAATGTGCTCTCCCTTTCACGTTGAAAGAGGAAGAGAATGAACTGCATTGTTACGTTTAAAAATAAAGACAGGTTTTCATGACCACATCACCAAATGTAAAGAAGGAAGCCCCAGTTCTTCCCAAAGCCAAAGCCTTGAGTCCCAAGAAAACAGTGCAGAAAGCTGTTCTCAGTCACACAAAAAGAAGAGTCTCACAGCACCTACCTTCTGGTGGCCCAAGACACTGAGGCTCTGAAGGTAACCCAGATATCCTCAGAAGAGAGCCCTCAGGAGAATCATGCTTATACACTCTGCCAGCATAAACTTCCCTGACCACAGAGCCAGCCATGCAGAGAGAGAGGACATCAGCCCACTTATCTTCATTAAAGGTGTCAAGGCCACCAAGCCCCAGATGACACAGGCTCTGCAGAACGTCTATGCCATTGACACGGCTGAGGTCAATGCTTTGCTCAGACCTCATGGGGAGTAGAAGGCGTAAGTTGCACTGACTCCTGACTTTGATGCTTCGGTTGTCACCAACAACAGTGGGAGCCTTTAAGCTGAGTCCACCTAGCTAATTCGAAATATAACATTTTTCAACATAAAAAAAATTAATTAAACAAGCAACTTTCCACTAGTTCTGTGTGGGAACGTGCCCTTCATGACCAATCACAGTGGGGCTGGTTGCACTGAGACGGCTGGCTTACCCCTGAGGCAGTAGTGCAAACTGTAACCTGTGCGCTGAACCGGGGGATGCAGCCATCTTCAAACAAAACCAGACAGTCACTAGAGGAGGTGGAGGTGGATCACAATGGCAGGGGAAATGTCTTGGAAAATCTCTTCTTCCTTTGGCCTCTGGCTTCTGTTGTCCTTGCATTTGCTGAAATGTCTGTAAGGGGTTCAAACACATGGTGATCTGGCAGTGCATGAGCAGTGGACTCAGGAGTCCAGAGTTAGAATCCTTAACCCACCAGCTACGTGACTTAGCAAATCTCTTCTCTCAGAACTTCTGCATCATCGCCCGTAAAGTGGAGCATTTGGACAAAAATCTTCCTTAAGACCTTTTCCAATTTTAACATGCTGGGTTTCTCTAAAGTCAATTGTTCAATTAAATGCCCATCTAGGAGGGCAAGGCAGTTAAATAAAATTTCCTCACTGGAACCAAAGCTTTAGAAATTTAAAATGTCAGTGTAAATTCTTTCCTGTCTATTATTTTCTTGTACTTAGTAGAATACCAAAGTGCAGTATTTTAACTAGGGTTTTACTGCTCTCTTGGTTAATCTTGCAGTGAAATTATACTGTTACATTGGGGACCACATCACCTATTTCCATAACAACAAGCCTCATAAGCCTCAAGTATAGGAAGATGATGGGTGTTAATATAAAATCTACTCGAAAGCCATTCTTCTAAACACTTTGCCCTTCCTTAAAAAAGTCATTTTAATCCATCTGATCATGATTTAGTTTCTATTGACTCATCATTTTTCTTCAGCAAAAGTGGCTGAACTTCCAAAAAGTGTTTAGGAAATAACTTTAGCATTTTCTGCCAACAAATAGAAAATCACATTTTATTTCCTTCTAGAGCAAATGGATTATTCTAAACTTAAAGATGCTAGCCCAAAGCTGTGAATACCTGGGCTATGGTCGTGGGTTTAAGCAGAGGAAATGTCTTCTGTTGTTGGAGGTGGGTGCTGGTGGGGCAGTGGCAGAGGTAGGAGACACGAGAGAAATGCTCACATCTCTGTAGCAGGTGCTATGATGTGTGTCTGTTGTGACAGCGGAGTCCTCCTGGGATTTGGACAGCATTGCTGGAGGAAGCCATTACCCTCTTCAGGTTTAGGAAACCTTGTGGTAGTTCCTTCTACTCCATGTCTGCAGGCAATGTGGCCCTTGGTGACCTTGACCTCTGCTTCCACTTGGTACATTGTATTGGCAGGAACTACTAGTGTCTTTGCCCATTCAACTCTGCTCAAGAAATGAGCATGTGAAGGTGAGTCAACAAGAAAAATACTGGAGAAAAGATTAGAAAAGAACCAAAGATTAGAAAGGCTCCAGATATCTAGGACCTGGCCTGGTTTTGACATTACATGGCTGTGGAATCCTATGTAATATATTAACCCAATTTATGCTTTAGTTTCCCTGACTGTAAAATGAAGACACTGAGCTACTCAGCCCTTGTAAGGAGAATGAACCACAAATGGTCACTGGGATAGTAGATAAAAATTTCAGCATATCACCCTGGTTTTGCAAGAAATGTATTTGTTTCTCCTGACTCCAAGTGATATTTTTGGGGAAGATTTTAATTGCTGAATATGGCAGTAACAGAGTCTCTGGCTCCATATTGGGACTTGTTCTTTATCAGGAGGTAGCATCTGTCTCTTTCTTGAGACATTGGGCAGAGTTTGGTGAGTGCTTCAACTATTAGGGTGTGGCAGAAGTGGTGCTATGTGACTGAAGCCCACATCCTAAAAGCCAAAGAGCTTCTTTCTGATTCTTTAACTCCAGCTACCACAGTGTTTCTAGGCCAGAGAGACCCTGTGCAGAAACAGAGATGCCTGAGGGGGCTCAGCTATTTTAGGCCTCATTTGTTGGAGTCATTTATTCCAGACACCAGTCTGGACTTTAGATGAGTGAACTTTAGATGACTAATTACTGCAACTAGCTGAGTGACCTGAATGAAAACCACCTTGCTGAGCCCAGGCAACACCAAATTTACATAAAAGGATTGGTGTTTTAAGCCCCTCATTTGGGGTGATTTTTTTTATGAGACAATAGATAACTTGACAACTTCTATATCCAATTTTATCATCTGTATAATGGGAAAATTAATCCATAGTTCATAAAAGAATTATTACAACTATATAGTCTGGGTTGAATTTTATTATAGGAATACCTTAATTGAAATGAGTAGGGCATGACACATCTTAAATGCATACTTTATTTTAGTTACCTTTTATCTTCTATTACATGGGATGGTATGCTTTTCTCCTCTCAAGACTGAGATTCGTCTGGGAAGGATCCCCCTTTGATTCTTTCACTACTATAATATACCAATGGTACTCAGTATTTATTGAACTATAGTTCTCGGTCCAAATCTCCATTGCTTCCTTGGCCTTTTGACCCATTTGTTGATTTCAGAACCTTGCACCTGTCCAATTGGGAATGCAAATAACCTTTGATGGACAAATTATACACAGACCAACTGGTGCCAGACATGTATCACACAGAGATTGTACCAAGTGAAAACACTTTCCAAATGGAAGTGAGTCTGACCTTGCCGTGAATGTCTCAGTATTAGAAGCTTCTCTTCTGGAAGCAAAAAAGAGAATTGCACAGGAGAGAAATGTTACATGTGTCACTTTGACATCACATAGAAATCTTGATAATCTCCAGTTGATATTTGCACATCATTAGATCATTATTTTGCTAATTGCTACCAAGGGTCCTTTTTAGTAGTTAGAATAAAAGTTTTATTCTTTCCCAGTTTAGTTAGGATGCATAATCCAGACTGATAGATGAGGACTGCATGGCTGTAGACAACTGACTCCACAAATCCTCTTAGCAGAGACTCACCAAGGGGAGCTTTGTGTAAACACCATGCTAAGAAAATAATACCTTCATTTTTGTTGCTGGTTGACTCCCACCCTTTCTCCTGGAAAGGGTTATTTCTACCTATTTAAATGACAAAGCAGCTAGTAATGAATAGTATCTAAGTCTTTGTCCAATGTCGAATCACGGAACTGGAGTTTAATAAATGAGAAATAATACTTCATTCTGGATCATTGGTCTAAGCCCTAGAATCTAAGTAGTGACTGTCTTTTCTGCATTCACTATCCACTGCTACTCATAACAAATGTGAAATAATATAATAGCCCTTTTCAAAATGATATCTTTTAGTTTAAATAGCTTTGCTATATATACACATGCTTTGGGTGAATGCAGTTATTTACAAGTTTAAATCTAGCTTCGTTTTGATAATACAGCATTATTCAACGATGAAATGACTAAATACCCTTTTTGTATGCCCTGTGAGAAACACATTAAATAGGATGTTTATGTGGTGCTTGTTTACCTGAGCAGGGAGCTCAAAGCAGGTTATGTGTATTCCATTTATCTCATTCAGAATCCTCAGGCATAATATAATAAACCCACCATCCTTTGGGGATAGTATTCTTCTCTCCATTGCCCTTTTTCTCCTCATTCCTGATACGCCTCCAGCCCCCTATTCTTACAGCAAA